CCAATATTACCCTCATCCTCATCGCTAATCTTAATCAAATTCAATTTTTCCCTTCTATTCTATATTATACCCCTTCCCATTGTCATCTATTTTTATATCCATCCTCACATTGGTTAATTATGTAATATTACAGTTGTTTAATATGAATTCAACATTTTAATATAAATCAATTAGTTATATAACTACCTTTTTTGTATATTAATCAATATGAACATGAATATTCCAATTATTTCCATGCATTCCAATTTCTTACAAATCCATTAATTATATTTACCAATAATAATAAACCAAATAATTTCCCCCATATATTCCTCCAAACCACAACTTAACCATTTCTGCTTTCAACACAATATACAATTAATAGTATCTCAATTATTACAATTCCCTAGTTAAATAGAGCTTTTTTTTCTTTTGTGTTTTAAAATCCTAAACTCTCCTCTTTTTCCCTAAATTTTCCATTGTTTGCACCTACCTTTTTTGGTGAGGAAAAAGAAAAGAATTCTGCCTGCCTAATTTTCCAACCTTGCAGCAACAGCAAAGCAGTTTCACTTTCGTTTCTCAGCATAGTTAGGGGGGAAAAAATCAACACTCTTTGCAAGGAAGCAGCTCCGTGGGCCAATAAAATTACAAAAAAAACATCGAACCCTTTGTTAAATTGCTGGCTCCCCCGCCCCTCGCCCTATTTATTGGCAATAAATAGTGGTGCGGAGGGGCGGGGCAAGCCAGCAATTTAACAAAGGGTTCGGCTGCAGCACTGGCTCTAGGGCGGCCCTTTGAAGCCCCGAGGCAAGAATTTGAAGTTTTTTTTTTCCTCCAGCCATCGGAGGCAGCAATAGATGGGGAGTGGGCGGGGTAAGCGAATGGCAGGCGATCCAACAGAGCAGAGAGAGGGAGGGTGAGTGAAGGGGTGGAAGCTGCTTTCTCCATCCTGCTCTCTTGCATCCGGAGCCCACGTGGATCCCAGGCAGCGGAACTCAGGCTAGGGAAGGGGTGGGCAATTGTGGCTCTTTTACAACCTCTGGCCTTCAACTCCCAGAATTCCTCAGACAGCCAAGCTGTCTCAGGAATTCTGGAAGTTGAAGTCCACAGGTTGTAAAAGAGCCACAATTGCCTACCTCTGGCTACGGTAGGCTGGCGCCGCGCGGGTGGGAGGCGAGGGGCGGGCGAGCCAGCAATTTAACAAAGGGCTCGGCCGAACCCCCTAGAACCCTCAGAATCCCACCACTGTGTAGGCCCCTCTTGATCTTGAGGCCCTAGGCTGAAGCCTAGTTAGCCTATAGGAAAATCCGGCCCTGCCCAGGAACACCAATGCCCCTTCCCTCCAAGGCCAGGAAGGGGCTCCGGTTTTCCATGGAAGGAGGTGGCATTCCCCGCCCAACTTTCTCTTGCTGTCCAGGGTTGCAGTTGTCGGTGGGGATGTCCCGCTACCCTGACGGGGACCAGGGAGGAAGGCGGGAGGACCCCTGAAAGGCCAGGCAGAGCTTGAGCATGCATATTGGATAGTTGATCTTTGCATGTGCATGCATGCCAAAAACCAGAAGAGCAGGTGGCCGGCATGCATGTGAGCACCAAAAACAGGAAGATCATCTGCTTTTCCGGTTCCAGGCATGCACATGCGCTCCCATTTTGCCAACACTGGTATAGGGTAAAAAAACATACACGTTAGTATATTTCAGTGTATTTTTGTGTCTTGATTTTTTTTTTCAAATTAAAATTTCCCCCACCCTTGTAGGCAAGTTAAAATAATTTAGTGTCCAGGGTCCAATGCTTTTGTGGATTTTTTGAACCTGGGTCAATTAAATTAGCAATAGCAATAGCACTTAGGCTTATATACCGCTTTACAGTGCTTTATACAGCCCTCTCTAAGAGGTTTACAGAGTCAACATATTATCCCCAACAATCTGGGTCCTCATTTTACTGACCTCGGAAGGATGAAAGGCTGAGTCAACCTTGAGCCTGGTGAGATTCGATCTGCCAAGCTGGTTGCAGACGGTGATCAGCAGAAGTAGCCTGCAGTACTGCACTCTAACCACTGCGCCACTGTGGCTCATTAGGTACAGTCTAAAACAGAACCTATAACAGATAACAGCAGATATGACCTAAATCCTATAATTAAGGGAGCTGTTAACTAAATGCTAGAACCAAAATGGGTTCTTGAGTGTAGCAGCTGCTAAGATCATTAAGTGCTTGAGAGAAGTTAGCTCAGTGGAAAAGGAAAATAAAATGAGCCTAGCTGGGAAAGAGTGGGAAATCATTATCTTGGAAGAACAGTACACAAAAGGTGCTGTCACCATTTGTGCTCCTGAGTCCTTGAGAGAAGCAATTTAAAGATTATGTATGCCAGCCTTCAAGCCTGTTGCCTCAAAACACTGAGAACTAGAAACAAAGATTATTTCCCCACTTGGAGTTCCCAGAGACCTTTCAGTAATAGAAATCCCGTCATCCCCACTTAATGCACAAGGAAATAAATCGTATTTGCATGCATGCCAATCCACATCCTTGTAGCTGGTTGTATATAATAGAATCCCAGCAGTTCCTGCAAGGGAAAGCTGAGAAGATGTCAAGTCATCATTTCCTTGAAAGACGCCGAGAACCAAAATGTGACCAAAATGGGGAACTAAACTGACCTCAAGTGCTAAAAGTAACAGAAAATGTGTAGTTTCAAATACAGCAGAGCTGAGTCAGAAGTAAATCAGTTCAGCTCTCAAGTAGAGCTGATGTCAGAGGATCACAGGGTACTGAGCGGCTTGCATTGTGAAGTTGCAGAAATTTTGTGTGAGAATGCCTAGGGCACTATTCTAAAGAAAAGAGGAATATTGCAAAACATGTAAGCAACTTAATGACATTATGAATGTTACAAATTTTTTTTGAGCGAGCAAGAGAGAGAGAACCAATCCTTATGTGGTATGGAATAAAACAGAGGAAATTATAGAACCATAAACCTGTGTATGAGCCATGGTGGTGCAGTGGTTGGAATGCAGTACTGCAGGCTACTTCTGCTGCCTGCTGGCTGCCTGCAGTTCAGCAGTTCGATTCCCACCAGCTCAAGGTTGACTCAGCCTCCCATCCTTCCAAGATCGGTAAAATGAGGACCCAGATTGTTGGTAAAATGAGGACCCAGATTGTTGGGGGCAATATATTGACTCTGTAAACCGCTTAGAGAAGGCTCAAAAGCAGGGGTCCTCAAACTACGGCCTGCGGGTTGCATATGGCCTGCTGAAGCCATTAATCTGGCCCATGCAGGATCATGAGGCTGCCATTCCCACATCTCCCCGCCCACCCACTGGCCCCCCACTCTTCAGCCAAGCACAGGACTTATCTTCGCGAGCCCCGCAGGCTGGAACTGGAAGGTAAGGCCAACATTTTTGGCCTGCAGAATGCTTCTGAAGGCAGGGGAGGTGAAAAATGGGCACGTGGATGCTCTGGGAAGTCAAAAATGGGCCCGTTTTAGACAGGTTTTGGCCTGCAGAATGCTTCTGGGGGTGAGGGAGGTGAAAAACGGGGTACACGGAGGCCTCCTGGGGCATCTGCATTCCCCATTTTTTACCTCCCCCGCCTCCAGAAGATAGAAAGAGAGAGACAGAGAGAGAGGGAGGGAAAGAGAGAGAGAGAGATGAGAGAGAGAGAGAGACTTGTTGATTGTAAGCTCCTAGGGCTGAGAAAAATTGCTGCAAAATTGAGTTTCCTGAAGTGGACCACTAGACTCCTATACAACTTAAAAAACGATCTAGTAAAAAGAAAAGTCAACCAATAGAGCAACGTGCAAACAAAAGCAAATAAAACACCCCCAGGAGCAAAACAAATTAAAGTTTAATTTGTGTGCATTGTTTAATGGACTGCTAAATTGGCCACACCCACCTAGTCACATGACCACCTAGCCACACCCGCCCACTCAGTCTGGCCCCCCAACAGTCTGAGAGACTGTGAATTGGCCCCCTATTTAAAAAGTTTGAGGACCCCCGCTGTAAAGCACTGTGAAGCGGTATATAAGTGCTATTGCTATTGCTAGGTGGAAGGGAGAAGACAAGATGGCAGGTGCAGCAGTGCAACCGAAACCCAACCCCTTTCTATATATTTGTGATGTCCATGCACTGCAAAACAGGTGGGTATTTGATTGTGCTGCCATGACTGTTGTGTCCATTTTTTTTTCTACCTACCCTTGCAGGTACCAGGGATACATGCTTTATATGTAGAATGGCTCAGAGACAATCCCCGGTGTTACCTTGCAGTGATAAGGAAGACTGATCAATCAATGTTGACAACACTAGCCTAGACAGTACAATAGCTTACTTCCATATAGGATACTTTTTAATTTTGTCTTCTGTGTTCTTAATATAGAAAAGGAAATTTTCACTTGAAAGTTCTGCTGATTGTACTTCCTATGGAAATCCTTTTCCCAGTTCTTATTATTGCTAAAAGATCTGACACTGGAAAAATTCATAATGAGTTATATCTAATTTCAACACAGGATACTTTTGATTCTGTTTCATTGGGTTGCAAATCATGCAAACTTCTGCTACACGTCTCCATTTATACTCACATTTCTCTGTGCTCAGCAAAGATTATATTAATCAAATGTTAACACCATAGAACTACAATCAAGTGAAATTCTATTCATATCTTCACAGAATTTAGCCTAATTTTGAGTTCAAAGGACTAACTTCCTGAGAAGTTTTGATCAAGGAACACATGGCAAACAGTTTATGTGATAAAGACGGAAGATTCGTTGTTTGCCTCTGCTCCTAATTGCATTTTTTAAATTAAAAAATATATTAATAGCCCAATTGAAAAGGCATTCCTCTTGTTTCAAGAGTTCTTCTTAAATATTAATAATAGTCTGTTATTTAGGTATGTCCTTCTCCTCCATACAGAATTCCTGTTGCAAAGTAACCATCCAAATCATCTTCAATTACAAAAATTGAACAAAAGAGAACACAATAATGTCTAATAATGACCTTATCACACATGACAACACACAAATGTAACAACTTACAACTTACTGATGTTAAAAGTAAGATTAGTTACGGATTAGTGACTCACGGATTAGTCATCCAGTTAACAATGCTTGTTGAGAGCCAGTTAAGGAGGGGAAAAAAAGAATTGCAATGTTGCTGCTTCACATTTTCTGTAGAAATTACTTCGTACGGAATGGGCTTTACAGTATAAAATGGATGTATCAATTAAGATAGCAGTATACAGAAGCAATCGGAGCTGTTCTGCTAGACCATATCTCCTTTTCATTTATTTATTCTAGTAGTAGTCATTTTCGTTTCCAATGTAAGTTCACATACGTTTACAATAACTCACTTCCTCATTTTCCTTTGTTTACTGTAGGTGGATTCGGTGATTTCCATTTACTTGTCATGCAGTTTGTCATACAGGAGTAATGCGCGTCGTTTTATTAAAAGGGTTACAGCAGTCTGGTAATTCAGAGGCTGGCTTTATGCCCCATCTGGGATGGGTTCGTTTTTCAGTGCTCTCAGGGCATGTATGTATTTGGCATCCTTCAGCTGCTCTGGTCCTGTGCTTGTGCCAGCTTTATCCTAAGCTAGTTTGAGAAATCTCTGGACTGAGATTTAGGCAGCATTGTGTAAGTCCAGATAGCAGGCAACACCATCGTCCCACTGGGTGATTCCCCTCCTGTTCTGCCCTTCCACTTTTCTGCTCCAGAAGAATACTATAATTGCCAGTTGCTTTCTTTCCTGTGGACACATCTTCTTGAATATATATGCTTTTATATGAGAATATTTACATATTATACAGAGAGTCTGTTAAATTAAATTGTTATATACGAAGTTGAAAGATCAAAATTCCTTTCTTACTTTCTCAGTGCCTCTAATATCTTCTATTGCTATCTTGATTAGGAATTTTGTAATAGCATTGCCTAGCAACATACAACACTGCTAACTTGGAACCTAGAACAACTCAAGGGTGAAATGCTACCGGTTCGGACCGGTTCAACTGAACCGATAGTGATGGCAGCAGGTGGTTCGGAGAACTGGTAGCGACGGTAGCGCGAGGCTCCGCCCATCAGCCCGGTCTTGTTACTTCCTGGTTTTAACCAGGACGTAACCTATTTTTTACCCTCTGCGCATGCGCAGAAGGGTTTGTGCATGTGCAGAGGGTCTGCATGTGCACTTCCAAACCGGTAGGGAAGGTAAGTAGATTTCACCCCTGGAACAACTGTTTAGCGAAACAAAATGAAATTACTATTTTCTTCCCTTATTAGACAACAGAAGTCTAATAATTTCTGTTAAATACTTGCTAACCCTCTGCAGCTGCCCCACAACTAAGTGGTTTCTTGATATTCTTGAAGAACATCAACCACATTGTGTTGTGCCTAAAACATCCCAAAATTCCTTAAATACTAACTCTGATATAAATGTATCACCTTTAAGATTAACAGATTGATTTGATGTTTTGTGTTTAATTTAATATATTTGCATAAATTACAGCTCAGTTTATGAAGCAATACATGTTGTTACTGGAAGGATGTAGAAAGAAACCCCAAACCCTCCCAGCCCATAGCTGACCATAGGTGACCACCCTCTCCCATGACACACAAATCTCCCACTGTATGCAGACCATGGTTAAAGAAAACATAATGTGCTCTGATATGAAAATCCAGCCTCTTAGATTAAACCAGCGGTGAAATTCATTTTTTTTACTACCAGTTCTGTGGGCGTGGCTTGGTGGGTGTGGTGTGGCTTGGTGGGCATGGCTTGGTGGGCATGGCAGGGGAAAAATACTTCAAAATATCCATTTCTACCCCACTCCAGGGGAAGGATACTGCAAAATCCCCATTCCTTCCCCACTCCTCGGGGAAGGATATTGCAAAATCTCCATTCCCACCCCACTCTGGGGGCAACCACAGGTGGTATTTGCCAGTTCTCCAAACTACTCAAAATTTCTACTACCAGTTCTCCAGAACCTGTCAGAACCTGCTGAATTTCATCCCTGGATTAAACCAGTGGTGAAATTCTCCAAGGTTTGCTACTGATTCACTGCCCGCGCATGCACGCTGCACACCAAACATGTGCTGTGCACGTGCCAAACGCACACTGTGCATGCATGTACAATGCAGACCAAATGCACGCTGCACACAGAAAAAGGAGGCTTAAGAAGGTAAGTAGAACAGCGGGAGGAACAGCTGTGCTGCGCAATTTAGAATATAAATCATGCACCACAGCTGTTCATAGGAAATACCAGTTCAGACGAACCGATAACTTTTAGGTTCGCCCAAACTGGTAGCTTTTTTTTTTTACTACCGACTGCCCGAACTGGTAGTTTTTATTACTACCGGTTCACCTGAACCAGTAGCATTTCACCCCTGGATTAAACCCTACATCCAATAAATTAATTCTGACTCCAGAGCCTCATTTCCAACTCATCCAAGCATCTGAGCCTCCGATCCAGAAGTTCTTGGATGAAACCCTGCATTTGGAGACTATGATGGTTTGTTTGCTTGTTTGTTTGCTTTTCACCTAGGAGCCCAGCCAGCCTTGCTATTATTCCTGTGTCTCCTCTCTGTAGTAAGGGGCTGCCTCCATTTTATTTCTCAGTTTGAGCTAGCATGGGTAATAATGAGGCCTCTTGAAGTTTCGCGGCAGCTTTTCTTCTTCAGAGTTTGGTCAGTGCCAATTCCCCAAAGGCATCCATGGCAGCAGGTTAAATGTCTCCATGGAGATTTCAGTGGCTGCTTTCCTCTCTCCCTCCTCCTTCCACTGTGTCCTTCTCTAGATTATTGGTTGTAAACAGCAGCAGCAGGATTTCCAGACCAACAGAATCTACCCCAACCAGGTTCACTACCCCCCTTGCTTCGCAGCCCCACAACTGCCCTAGCAAAACAATGAAGCCATCTTGTTCCAATGGCCTGGTGACGGTGACAGTTGACAGATTATGGCTGATTTTCCCCCCCTCTGTCCTGTCTGGCTTTTTTACTGCAGCTGCAGGAACCAGCTTGCCAAATGAGGAGTGTTTCACAAAAGGGCTGGCATTGTGGGCAGAGGCCTTGGGATCTGGCAGATTTCATATGCTGAGGGGCAAAATATACAGGGTGCATATCTCACCTCACCTCTCTCAATTGCCCAGCCTCTGCCAAGAATTAGACAACATGTAACAGGAACACAGCAAGGTCTTGGTTGGGGGGGAGGGGGAGTTCTGCAGGTGTTTTCTTCTTTCTGGTTCTTTTTCCCAGAAGGATGTGATGGGGAGAGAGCAGGGGTGAAATGCTCCCGGTTCGGTCTGGATCGTCCGATCTGGTAGCGATGGCAGTGGGTTGTTCGGAGAACCGGTAGAAAAAATCCCTGTCCCGCCCCCCATGCCCAGCTGAGCTGCGCAATCATCAGAGGCTTTTTTTAAAAAAAATTTAAAAGCATTTTTTCTACCTTTTCGGCCGAAAAAAATGCTTTTAAAAGAAAAAAAAAAAGCCTCTGACGGATCAGGCAGTTCAGCTGGGATCGTCAGAGGCTTTTAAAAGCATTTTTTATATATATAACCTCTTCGGCTGAAGAGGTTGTAGAAAAAATGGTTTTAAAAGTTAAAAAAAAAAAGTTGGCCACACCCACCCAGTCACATTACACCCCCAAGCCACGCCCACAGAACCGTAGTAACAAATTTTACATTTCACCACTGGGAGAGAGAAATATGCATGTATATCAATGTATCAAACAAATATAAATATATCTTTGAGTTTTATTCCATGATTCTAAGTTCACACAATAGGAAAGCTTGCTTCATAAAAATCAAAGGGCAAGTTTAGTATATTCCTATTCATTTTATATGAAATTAGGAAGTTTACTACCAAATTAAGACTGTGTCAGTATGATTTATTGATATCATCAGTCCTGTTTTTTTTATGACAGTTGTACAGTGGAAAAAAATGCAAGATCATTTAGTTATTTCAAATAGTATCATAATAGATGTCTTAGAACAATTCCACACTGCAGCCAAAATCGCTTGCTCCAGTAATGCTCCAGGCTGTTCTTAAATTCATTCAGACATTCCAGACTAGATTGTGGTGGGTCAGCAGTTGGACCAAGGGGATTCTCGTCAGGGGTGGGTTCTACTTACCTTTACTACCGATTCGCAACGGGAGCGTCCGTGCGCACTTCTGTGCATGCACAGAAGCTTCTGCACATGCGCAGATCGTCCATTTTGACATCCGGGCGGGTAGGCAGAGTCTCCTGACATTTTTACTACCAGTTCGCAAAAACTGGACAGAACCGGGAGCAACCCACCACCGATTCTCATTCTATCTACACTGTGGCCATCACAGGACATGATGGATTCATCTTCTGCTTCTAGTCCTTACTAGGTGGCTCCTATGAAGCAGGATCTACCTGCTCTTGCCTTTTCCTTTTAGGTTCCTCTGAAGACCCACAGAAATTTTGTACCAAGGAAGAATTGAAAGTTCATTTACAGAGAAACAAAGTAGGAATGTCTCTTTGTTGCAACCTAAAAACTTAAAAAGAGTGGTGGATGGGTGAGAAGGAAAGGGCATTTGTAAATCAAATTCAAATGCTCCGGGTGTTTCTAATCTAAACCATTTCAAGCTGGTATTATTTAGATGGGTTGAACGGGCTGAACTACAACTCCTGTTACTGCCAATATGGGCTGTGGTGGTGAAAATTGCACTCTAATACATCCAGAGGTAGATGCATGAGGATATCACTGGTAGCTGAGAATTTCAGGAATCTGGCTTTCACATAACTTCTTAAAAATAGGGCCGTTACTGTATCTCCCCATGGCTGATCAATTACTTGCAATTACTTCATAGAATCATTATTATCTGAATCATATAAAACCAGACAAATCACTAGAGGCTAAAATCATGCGGCTATGTCTGATTTACTTTGGTCATGTCATGCCTGCAAATTCATTAGAGATGAATGCTAGAATAGTTACCGGAACAAGAAGAAAAGGACACTCTGGCTTGATGACATCAAATCTGATACAAGGATGAACGTCCAACAAATGAAATGAGCTGTGCTTGACAGGGAAGCATGGAGAGCACTTGCTAATAAAGTCACCAAAAGTTGGATATGACTGGATGATTAAAACAACA